CATCCCAAGTGTGTCGCACAATTATTATTATTAGTATTATATTATTTTGCTCTTCAGCAAGGAATGATAAAGGCGACTTGACAGCTTTTGATGGATCTCAGAATGTTCTGGCTCCGGACGAAAATACCTTGCTGATAGATGTGGGAGTCAATTTCCTTTAAGGAAAAAAAAAGATCTTCCTTTCCTTTCCTCCAGGAGATAAAAGTAAAAATATTCCTTGACGAATGAGCAGCTATAAAAAGGACTTGGGGAAAAAAATTCCATGACCTTCACACTTTTTTTAAAAATGACTTTTTTCCCCTCCCCCCCTTCAAGTGTGGAATTGTACAACTTCCCTGGACGGAGCCGTTTAAAGGGGCCATCGCTGAATTCAATGAATAACAATCATTAAATTAATAATTGCATTCATCACAATTACAACTTTTCAAATGGCTTCTTTTCAAAAGGTTCTGATTGCTTTAATTGTAGGATGTTGGGTTTCCTGCCTAGGCAGGGGGTTGGACTAGAAGACCTCCAAGGTCCCTTTCAACTCTTCTCTTCTCTTCTTTTCTCTTCTCTTCTCTTCTCTTCCCTTCCCTTCCCTTCCCTTCCCTTCCCTTCCATTCCATTCTGTATATTCTATTCTATTCTATTCTATTCTATTCTATTCTATTCTTATTCCTTATTCTGTTTTCTTATTCTATTCTATTCCATTCTATTCAATATTCTAAATATCACATATTTCATTATAATAGGGAGTCAGTTTGGTCTAATAGTTAAAGCATCTGGTTCATAAGATAGATACTGGGAGTTCTAGTCCCGCTTCAGTCATGAAAGCCGGCTGGGTGACTTTGGGCCAGCCACCAGGGAACTGGGAGTTCTAGTTCCCACCTTACGCATGCAATCCTAAGAGTTGACAATTTAACCATGAACTACATGGATTTATGATCTGTGCAACAGACCGAGATGGCATCCTCCATTTTGTGAAGGTGACAGCAGAATTCCTTCCATTTTCTCTGACTTTTTTCAACTGCAAATATCAGAACCAGTGTCCAATCATTCAGGGGCTCAGTTCCTACAACACAGTAGACCTCTAACTAACCAGCTATGGTTTTTCCCCCCCCAAGCTGCTAGGATGATCTTAACCCAAGATTGTTAGTTTGTGCTAAAATGCTAGTTTTACTAAACCAGAGCTCTCCAAACCTGGCAACTTAGAGGCTGGTGGACTTTCTTCCAGAATCCCCCAGCCGGCATGCTTTAAGAGGAGTGGACTTCAGCTCCCAGAATTCCTCAGCTGGTATACTTTAACTGGTGGAATTCTGGGACCAGCTGGGGAATTCTGGGAGTTGAAGTCCACGGGTCTTAAGTTGCCATGATTTAGAACACCAGCATTGTGGCACAAGCTAACAATCTTGGGTTACGATCGCCCAAGACGCTTGGGAAAAACACTCCAAAAAATCCCTATTTTCAAAGTTTGACCCAAAGTTCCTTTTTTTTCCCCCACTGGGAAAAAAAAAAAGTCTTATAAAAAATAGAGATTGAATGTCCTGGCCAGGTCATGCCTTGAATTCTATTTTAATGTTGATATATTAAATATATATTTTAAGCCTTCCTAACTTAAATGTATGATTCTGGAAAAGAGAAAGACATCGATCTCCTGCTAAGAACCTTAGCCAGCAAAATGGATGAAAGTGGTCCAACACAGCCACCTGCTGGCCAGATGGTGGATAAAACCATCAGAAAATACAGTCTAATACATTGCAACAGTTACTTTGGTTCCTTGTTGCACTAGGGTCTCCTGCATAAGCAGGGGGGTTGGACTAGATGACCTCCAAGGACCCTTCCAATTTTGTTACTCTATGTTTCTGGAAGGGTCTCCTGCTTGAGGAGGTGGTGGAGTAGATGGCCTTCAAGATCCCTTCCAATACTGTTATGCTATAGATCTCTAAGGGTCTCCTGCTTAAGCAGGGGGTTGGACTGGATGACCTCCATTGTCCCTTCCAATTCTGTTACTCTATGGTTTTGTCTTCCTCCTCCTCCCTTCCTCTTTTCCTCTCTCCTTCTCTTTCTCCTCCTCCTTTCTTCCCCCCTCCCTCCCTTTTCTCCTGCTCTTCCTCCTCCTCCTCCCTCCCTCCTTCCCTCTTTTACTCCTCCTCTTCTTTCTCTTCCTCCTTCTCTTCCTTCTCCTCCCAATAAACCTTCCTCCCTTCTAGCACTGATGATGTTCCCTAGTTGGGTCAGGAAATGTCTACAAGAAAGCCAGCAGTCAGAGAGCATCAAGGACCCAACATTTCTCCTTCTGCTCTTCCTCCATCTTTCTTATTTCGTCCTCTTCCTCCCTTTCTTCTCTTTCTCCTTCTCCCTTTCCCTATCTGCCTCACCTTGTCTCCTTCTCCCTCTCCTTCCCCCTCCCTTCTAACACTGATGATGTTCCCTAGTTGGGTCATGAGATGTCTGCAAGAAAACAACCAAGCACAGAAAGATCCCAGTTTCCCTCAGTGGTGGGATTCAAATAATTTAGCGGTTCCCTCTACCCAATGAGTGGCTGTGTAGGCGTGGCTGGGTGGTCATGTGACTGGGTGGGTGTGGCCAGCGCATCATTCATATCGAGGGATGCCTCGCTTCCATACCTCACCTGACTAGTCGCTGGGTGGTGGGGGGGAGGGGGCAAAGTGGGGCGTGGCGTGGCGAGTCACGCAATTCAGCCAGTTCGCCAAACTCCACAAAAATATAGGAATGCAAACCGGCAGAATCCCACCATTGATCTTCCTCCTCCTTTCTCTGGAAAATCTAATCCTCCTACCACTGATGACATTACCTAGTTGGGTCATGAGATGTCTGCAAGGAAACCATCCAGGTCAGAGGTCCCACTCCTTTCTTCCCTCTTTCCTTCTCTCCCCTTCTTCCTTCCTTCCTTCCAGCTCCAATAACATTCCCTAGTTGGGTCATGAGATGTCTGCAAGAAAACCAGCCAGCTCAAGAGGTCCCACTCACTCACTCACTCACTCCTTCCTTCCTTTTCCTTCCTTTCTTCTTTCGCTCCTTTCTTCCTTCCCTCTTTCCTTCCTCCCCTTTCCATCCTTCCTTCCTTCCAGCCCTGCTAATATTCCCTAATTAGGTCCTGAGACGTCTGCAAGAAAACCACCCAGCTCAGAGGGCACCAAGGACCCCACATTTCCATCCCAAGCTACAAAACCTTCCGTTCTACTGTCTATCATTCATGGTTTGTCCGCCAGACAAAAGTGGTGGTGGTGGGGGAAACATCTTCATCTCATTTTGTGAAGGTGATCACAAATTTTCCTTCCTTCCATTGTTATCCCCAGCGCCAGGACTCCCTTCCAGCCAGTTTTGACCAGGAAACCACCGCAAACCCTGCTTCAAAAAACCGTTCACTGGTTCGATTCCCACGAACCCGTAGGACCTTATCAAACTAACCAAGTTGACCGTGTTTCTTGGTGGAAGCTAAAAAGTGGTTAGTTTGTGAGACAATGTTGGGTCTTCTAAAGTCCGGCAGTCTCCAAAGCTGGCCGCCTTGAAAAGCTGGTAGACTTCAACTTCCAGAATTCCCCAGTCAACATGGCGGACTGAGGAATCCTGGGAGTTGAAGTCCACGATCGTTCAAATTGGCGAATTATAAAGTTTGTCATCGTGAGGCAATAAATCTTGAGTTTGTCAAAAAAACAACACCAAAATATTTTATCATTTCTTTACAATTCCACATTTGTGGACTCTCCTTGAATTTATTTTTTTTGAGGAAACCCGTTTGTCTGGGATGGTACAAGCAATCGTTTAGTGACTGTTCCGAGTTACCATGGCATTAAAAACTGGAGCTTTTGACCATTTCTCACGCTTACGACCGTTTTGCAGCCTTCCCCGGGGCCACGTGAAGGAAATGTACAGGCTTAGGCAAGCTGACATGTGTTTATGACGGTTGCAGGCGGCCTGAGCGGGAGTAACTGATCCTTCTAATCTAAAATCAGGGCTTTGGCATCAGGATTTGAACTCAGGATGCCACAAGCAGCAGCCTGAAATGTTTTTTTTTTTTTACAAAATGATTTTTGGGGCAATATTTGAAGATTATCAGATAGTAGAATGCACAGCCCAGACGTAGAATATTTCCTGAAAGTGCCATCCAAACCCCAGGTGGGAAGTCCTTGGCTTACGACAGTTCCCAGCCCAAAGCACCTCGCAGTTACACTGACTGTCTTTACCGCACTCAAGTGCTTTGCGATATACGGGGATGTTTCCCCCTCACGAAGGTGCCATTGACGTCCAATTTTAAAAATTGAAAATGAAAAAATAAAAGTGAATCCAGTCTCCCACCCACACTCCCAAAAATCTGGGTTCACTTAACAATGCGGTTCACTCAACGACCACCACACCCAAAAAGGTGAAATCAGTGCAAGTTTTCTAAGGATCCTTTGAAAGACAAGCCATGACGGGAATCGCCAGACTCGGTGATGGTCATTACCTTGAGGACTAGGTGTATGACAACAGTTGCCCGTTGTGCCTGACCCGCTTGAGTTACGACTGGAATTGGCAGACTCGAGGACGGTCGTAACTCAAAGGACTCTCTGTAGGATAGGAATTTGTGTATCCCGTCGTGCCCGGCTCACACTTTGTGTTAACTCACAATCCCTTCCCAGGCAGAAATGGAGAAAGGGGCACAAATGCAGGATGCACAACTGAAGCGTAACACAATTTTCCTGTCGTTCTTCTGCGTCAAACGTCACCTGTGCCAAAAAACCCATAAAGACACGTGTACATATGGGGCGGGGGGGGAGAATCCTCAAAGTTACAGATGGAATACAACTGGCGGTCGTGACTTTGTGTAACACTTTCTTTGTTGTGCGTTGCGAGAAAGTTTTTCTGCTTGCGGGACCCACAATTAAAACGGCAACTTTGTCTCTGCTATTTGTTTTTAAAACTTGTTGGGGGGGGGAATAGCCCATTTTTACACACACACACACACACTTGTGCACGACGTACAAATAAAAATATTAAGGTCACATATTATTTTGGGCTAAATAATTTAAACATCTACGGTTTTAATAAGGTGTAATAAATACAATTGGGAGCAGCTTGATCGACAGCTGAAGTGTTAGAATGCTCCCTCCTTTCAGTCACAAAATTGTGGTTTTTCTGGTGTCCCCCCCCCCCCCAAAAAAAGCACATTTAACAGGATGGCAACAGGAACTCAAGCGACAAATAAAAACACCAAAACTCATCATAATCTTCCCCAAAAATAGATTTAGAAAGCAATGCCCTCCCACCCACCACCCACGTTGGCGGATTGAGGATTTCATGTCTGATGTAAAATGAATGTAAATTCATTTCTGAAGGAAGCCGGGAAAAACAATCTCGATTTTTGGGGAAGAAAACACACAGAATGGAGAGTGTCACAATTTGATTCTTTTTTTTCCTCCAAAAGGTTGTCTGTTGAAAAGAGAAAAATACGGAGTTGCCTCGGTCTCGCCCGGCGCCTAGAGGAGTGCGGCGGAGAAGGAACAAAAGCTCAGTTCGGGGTCGTGAGAAAAATAAAATAGAAAATAAGGGATTTTTTTTGAGGGGACGCCCGAAAGGAATTCTGGCCGCAGGGAAGGTTGTGTGTGTGTGGAAGGGGTATCAAATTAGAATTAAATTTGTGGGTTTTTTTTTTTCTTCCTTCGCTGCAACCAGTTATGGGTAGAAAACTATTCCCACGGTAGCGAAGAAGTGGGAGAGTTTCAACGGTTTTCCGAAGACTTCAAGTGAGGTTTCCAGACGTAATCCCGGATCATGGTATAGACCACACCTGGAAGACAAAAAAATAAATATCTTACCCTGAAAGTAAGTCCTAATTTGATTTTTTTTACACGTGTGCCCAATATAAGCCCTACTAGACTAAGGTGGGGTTGGGAGGGGCAAGGTGGGAAAATACCCGAACAAAGCTGAATACCATACATGTAAGTACCCACAAAAACTTAAGAAATAGAAATAGAAATAGAAATATATATATATATATATATATGTTTGTTTTCTGAGGTTCTCGTGGGTATTTGTATGTGGATCTTTGGTTATTTGGGTTTTCTCCCGGGTAAGATTGGAAGTATCTAGGCAACGTTTCGATGAAGTCTCATTCATCATCTTCAGGCTTGTGTCTTCTGCTCTGTGCTTCTCAGAGTAATTACCCGTGTTTCCCCGAAAATAAGACAGGGCCTTATATTAATTTTTGCTCCAAAAGACGCATGGATTATTTTCCAGTTAGATCTTATTTTGGGAGAAATACGGTTCTAAATGTGTGCCTGTCTGGCGGACAATCTTAACTGGGGCTTTTGGGGGGTGGTAGGGCTTATAGCAATAGCCAGCAATAGCACCTATATACCTTTTTATAGCCCTCTCTAAGCAGTTTACAGAGTCAGCATATTGCCCCCAACAATTTGGGTCCTCATTTTACCGACCTTGGAAGGATGGAAGGCTGAAGCAACCTTGAGCCTGATGGGATTTGAACTGGCAAATTGTAGGCAGCTGGCTGCAGTAGAAGGAGCTTGCAGTACTGCACTCTAACCACTGCGCCGCAGAGGCTCATTACGAGCATCCTTTAAAAAAACATTCTAGGGCTTATTTTCCAGTTGGGTCTTATTTTCAGGGAAATGGGGAAAGCTGTGTGTTTGTGGTTCTGCCTCCAGGTGGGGCGCAACAACAGCCACCCCGCCAACTTACCGCACACAATGCTGCCCACCACAAAGCCCTGGGCAGCCATCCGCGTGTGAATGAGGTGGATGGACATTTTGGTCTCTCCTCGGTGCTTCAGCCGGTAGATGCCATAGGCGGCCAGGGAGAAAAAACCCGCCAGACCTGAGAAAGGCAGAGGAAGAACAAATCAGTGGGTCTGGGGTCCCCCGGGGTAAGGCCCACCTCGGGACGGGATGAGAGGAGGAGAATAAGGATTGTGGGGGTCCCGGGTGCTCTCTGAACTGGGTAGTTTTTCTTGCAGACCTTTCATGACCCAATTAGGTAACATCATCAGTGCTACCGTTTTCCCAAAAATATGACCTACCCTGAAAGTAAATCCTAGCATGATTTTTACACGGGTGCCCAATATAAGCCCTACCCCCCAAAATAAGCCTTAAAGATTCTGCCCACTCCAGAGTAGACAGGTAAAAATTAAGCTAGGGTGGGGATTGGGGGATGGAGCTGCCCTACTACTTACCTTTGGACAGGTGTAGCCAGGCCTCGCACACCCCTACACCTGCCTGGCCAGTCCATTTCTTCTGCAGCCGGCAAGGCCGGCAAGGCTTTCCTGAAGGCCTCCGGAGCCGATAACAAAGCTCTGGATCGATCCTATTGGCTGCAGAGGCCTTCAGGAAAGCCTTGCTGGCCACAGCAGGAAGAATTCCTGAAGGCCTCTGACAGCGATGGACGCGAGTGAGGTTAGTCAGTGGATAACATCCTACTCCCTTTTACCGTGTTTCCCCGAAAATAAGACCTGGTTCCTTTTTTGGTGGCAAAAAATATAAGACAGGGTCTTATTTTCGGGGAAACACGGTAGAAGGGAGTGGGGTTTGTGGACAGAAGATGGAAGCGGAGGAGGAAGGAGAAGAGGAGAATGACTGTGGGGTCCTTGGTATTCTCTGAGCTAGATAACATCTTCGGGGCTAGAAGGGAGTGGGTTTTTGTGGAGAGGAGGGTGGAGGGAGAAAGACCACTAGACCTGGGAAAGGCAGAGGGAAACTTCAAGGGTTCAGGGCTCTCAGGTCCCAGGAATTAGATGAGGAAGGAAGGAATGAAGGAAGGAGGGAGGGAGGGAGGGAGGGAGGGAAGGGAGCAAGCAAGGAAAGGCAGAGGAAGAATTGCCAAGTGTTTAGTGTATCTGTGGTCCCACTGAGAGAGGGAAGGATGAAGGAAAGAAAGAAGGGGAGGAGGAGGAAGGAAAAAGAAAAAGTGGAAGGAATGAACAACGGAAGGGAGGAAGAAAGGAAGGGAGGTGGGGGATGAAGGGCAGGGAAGGGAAGGGGAGGAGAGTAAGAAAGAGGAAAGAAGGAAGAATTGTGGAGTCCTGGGTGCTCTCAGAGTTTGGCGGTTTCCTAGCAGGCGTTTCAGGACCCAACTAGGTAACATCATCAGTGCTGTAACTGAGTGATGTGTTCGAAGAGGAGGAGGAGGAGGGAGGAAAGGAGGGAGGAGACTGAAGAGGAAGGAAGAGGAGGGAGGAGGATTGTGGAGTCCTTGGTGCTCTCTAACCTGGGTAGTTTTCTTGCAACTGGGTAACATCACCAGCGCTACAACCGAGTGATGTGTTTTAAGAGGAGGAGGAGAATGACCCACAGACAGCCTAGGGTGTCAAACAAGCGGCTCGCAGGCCGGATGCGTCACATGTGTGCCACACTCCCCCAGCTCCACAATGCCCCCCCCCAAAAAACATCATGTAACATCAACGTAACGCGAGTTCGAGACCTGTAGCGTACAGCTTACCAAAAACAGATTTTGTGAGTCTGGTTGTCACATTTGAACCTGTAATCACACAGCCCCCTCAGCCCCACCAAGGCCTTTTGAAACACAGATAACTCCATGGGTTAGGACCTAGTCTTCGCACTTATGACCACAATCACCTTCTTGACGACACACAATCGACCATCGCAGGCTTGGCCAACTGATTCCTTGAACGACAGGGCAATTCGCTTAAGGACTCCCACCAAAAAAGGAGTCTCAAAAAACCCAACCGCAAGTCACAAAATGACCATGATTGGGACTGGACCTTTTCGGGGGGGGGGGGGGAGCGATCGTTAAGTCGAGGACTACTTGAGTCTCAAGATGGGCCATTGGGAGATGGGGGGGGGAATTCTGGGAGGTGAGGTGGATTGGGGAAATTTGAACCCATTGGCTCAGCCCTCGAGCAATGGTCGTAAATTCCCCGAAGACGCCATTGCAGAACAAAACGGGCTCAGAGCAGCTGGCCGGCAGAAAAGAAAACTCTGAAAAGAAGCACTTACCGACGGGGACAAAGGGCATGTCCTTCGATTTGCGGAGCAATTTTGAACCCACCGTTTCGTCGTAAGTTGGGAAGACTTTCTCTGAGGGGGAGGCCATGGTTGCTGTCATCAAACAGAAACGGAGAAAAGGTTACGTTGGAGGAACTGGGGGTGGGGTGGAGAAATACAGGGGGGCCTCAACTTATGACATGGCCCGTTTAGGGACCGTTTTGAAGCAACGGGGCCACTGGTCCTCGCAAACGATGAGGGTCGTGAACGTCCTCATGGGACAGGTAAGCGGGGAAGTCCCCGGCTTATGACCGCAATGGAGCTCAAGGTTTAGGTTGGTGAGGGAGATGTTGGGGACAAGAGGTTTGCCCTATTTAACGTTTCTCACCTACGGTTGTTAAAGTGAATCACTGTATATGTACGGTACACATACACACACACACATATATATATATACACACAGAGACACAAACAAACACACACATACTGTCAGGGTTCCAATGGATGCGGTAATTAATTAATTCATATACATATATACACACACAAATACACACACTGATATTTATATACACGTATTCATATGCACACACACTATACACATACATACATTATATACAAAAACACACATTATATACATACACACATTATACACACACACATATACAAATACATACATAGGTATATTAATATATTACTATATTCATTTGTCCAGAGTCACCCCAGACACCGAAATAGACAGTATATCAATTTAATAAATATAAATTTAATTACATATAATCAAATTGGAAGGGGCCTTGGAGGTCATCTATTCCAAACTCCCCTATTCAAACAGGAGATCCTTACAGAGTGATAGAACAAGATTTGGAAGGGACCTTGGGGGTCTTCTAGTCCAACTACCTATCAAACAGGAGACCCTTACAGAATCATAGAATAATGGAGGACCTCAGAGGTCATCTAGCTCAACCCCCTGCTCAAGCAGGAGATCCTAACAGAATCGAGTGGGAAGACACTTTGGAGGTGATCTAGTCCAGGGGTCCCCAACCATCGGGCCGCAGACTGGTACCGATCCGTGGAACATTTTCTACCGGACCACCGGTTTGCTGGGCGCCGCCATCTTGTTTCGATGAGAAAGTGCTTCCGGGTGAGCTCTTCCGGTTGGAAAGCGGCGTTTGGGTCCTGAAGGAATCCTCGTGCCTTAGTTTCATCGAAGGTGGGGGCTTCGAACGAAACTAAGGCGCGAGGATTCTTTCAGCACCCAAGGCAAGGTGAGCCGAGCGACCGTCCTGAAGCGAAGCCCATCGACACAGGTACAAAGGAGGAGTTGAAGGTGGCGGGGAGAAGCGGGGGACGGCTGGCTGGCCGGTTGCTCGGCTCGCCTTGCCTTGCCTTGGTCGTGCGTGCTGATGCCGGTACCGGTCCGTGGATCATTTTGTATCGGTCCGCAAAAAACGAGTAATCGTGAAACTGGTCCCTGGTACAAAAAAGGTTGGGGACCCCTGTTCTAAGGGAATCAAAAAAGGAACTGGAGAACCAGGAAGCTTCTTATGGAAGAGAGATGGGGCAAGAGTAGATATTTTAGAAACTAAGGAGAAGTAATAATAAGAGCTGAAATGAGAACTAGAACGACAGTATTCCTAAGTATACTTAAATAATACAGTGATGGCATAAAAATAATATATTCAATCATGGATTAAATAAATAATGAACAATTATCATTCAGTATGAATATGTATTATGCTAAATATAACAAACTTGATAAAAAATACCTTATTTGTATTAAAAATGTATGACAGGCAGACTATGGTGATTGACATAAAAAATGGAAATATCGAATAAATAATGAAAAAAATCAAAAAAGCGAAATATCAAATAATGGATTATAAACTGAACAAGCAAATCATGGGAGATTTTAATTTAACATACATATTAGAATTATGTAAGCTTGCTAAATGTAATAAATATGACTAATAATAGTCTATTTGTATTAAAAGGTATGATACTTAGAATAGCGGCTTGGCACAAAAATGACACATTGAAATACTGAATAACCAAATAATGAAAGATTATGAGTTGAACAAGCAAATAATGGAAGATTTCAATTGAACAAAAATGTTTGCATTATTATAATTATGTAAGTTTGCTAAATGTAATAAATATGATTACTAATAGTCTATTTGCATTAAAAGGTATGATACTTAGAATAGGGAGTTTGGCATAAAAATGAGACATTGAAATACTGACTAGCTAAAAAAGTGAAAGATTATAATTTAACAATATGATTGCTAGAATTATATAAGCATGTTAAAGGGAACAAATATGATTAACACTATTTTATTTGTAGCAAAATATATGACACTCTGGCGCCACCCTGTTCATGCACTGATATTTTTGTAACAAATAAAACATAAGACTTTGATGATGATGATGATGATGATGATGATGATGATGATGATGATGAATTTCCTGGTCTCAAATTTGTTGGTCTTTATTTCCCGGCAACATTTCTGGCCCACAATTTCATCAGATTCTCTCCCCGCCGGTTATGAGCAAAAGGGCCATTGCATCATTGTGTAAAAAAATGTTCCAGGAAATCCCTCGTGTTTATGGCTCATGTGATTTTTCACCTCTTTTGCAAAGTTGATTTTGCAAACTTCTGAAAAAAAAAAAATTCACCTTGCCAACATCCTTGACCTGATTCCATTTTTTTTCCCCCCATCCAAAATCCCAACCCAGGAATTCCTTGGAAAGGAGAAAGACAAGGAATTATTTTTTTTTTTTAAAAAAAAGGACTTTAATTGAACTAAGCTAGAAATAAAGAGAAATTTTCCAAACGAGGATGGTTAACCGGTGGAATGGCTTGCCACAAGGACATGTGGGTTTTCCAACACGGTAGGGAGCTTTTTATAAGGAAAGACTGGGCAGCCAATTTGTCTGAAAGAGTAGAGGGTGGGGCAGGGGTTGGACTAGACGACCTCCACGGTCACCTCCAACTTTCTGATTCTGTAAGGATGTTCTGTTTGAGCAGGGGGCTGGACTAGATGACCTCTAAGGTCCTTTCCAACTCTTGTTATTCCATGATTCTGTAAGGCTCTCCGGCTCGAGCAGGGGGCTGGACTAGATGACCTCTAAGGTCCCTTCCATCTCTATTAACCTGTAAGGCTCTCCTGCTTGAGCAGTGGGCTGGACTAGATGACTCCCAAAGTCCCTTCCAACCCTGTTATTCTGAAGCACTCCCCAGCTATTTGGGTGTCGATTTCAGGAAATCCTCCTCTTATGATCACAACTGACATCCAATTGCTATCCCTAAGTGAGGCAGTTCTGTAAGTGGATTTTGCCCCGTTTTATGACTTTTCCTGGTCCCGGTGTTCAGGGGATCGCTGCTGTTGTTAAATAAGCCCCGGGGAGGCCTCAATATAGCCGCCGTGGAGCCCTGACATCGCTAAGTGAGACTTTTGTGCAGTGACTTTTCGTCTTACTGTACGACTTTCCCGGTCGCAGTCAATTCAGGAAAATGTCCTGCCATCGTTAAGTGAGTAACCCAGGGCCGTTGTCACTCCAAACGGTCACTAAATGAACCATCGTAAGTCGAGGACTACCCGTACAAGAAGTGGCCTTCCAGACCCTGAAAATCCATCTAGGCTTCGCCAGGCCCAAACTGGACGAAAAGGAGATAGAATGTTCCAGCGCCGAAAAGTTTTGTTTTGAAAAATCACAACTTACCTCTTCACAATTTTTTGGGGGGGAAAGAAGGGTGGAAGCCTTGTGTTTCCAGCAGATTGACAGCTGTCAATATCCAGAAAGTGATTTACAATTGCACCTTGCCGTATTTTGCAAGGCAATGAACAATGCTTTCAATTGTAATATAATTTGACCAGTGGCCTTATCAGTTTAGAAGGGTGGCATATATATCATTGTATTGATTAAATTTAATTTACACACAAACACAATATAATTTAAATTTATACAAATATGTATACATGCACTCAAATACAAATACAGAGTTTAAATTTATACATTTATAAATGTATACTTACACACACACATCATGTACTGATTTATTAAATTTTAATTTTGTATATATAATGTACCAGTTTATGAAATTTTATACATATAATATATTGATTAATTATATACAGAATATATTGACCTGGTAAATTATAGTGTACTGACTTATGAAATTTAAATTATGTAATGTATTGATGACTTATCAAATTTTAATATAGATATAATTTAATATAGATATAATGGACTGATTTCTTAAATTTATATAATGTATTGATTTACTAAACTTCAGTTATATATACAATGCATTGATCTATGAAATTTAACATACATGTATTGAACCATAAAATTTAAATTATACATATATTGAACTATGAAATTTCACTTTTACATATATTGAACTTAGGAAATTTAAATTATATATATATATATAAAATATATTAATCTAGTAAATTATATAGTGTATTGATTTATGAAATTTAAAATAATAATGTACTGCTTTCTTAAATTTAAGTTTTATCCATATCATGTATCGATTTATTAAACTTCAATTATATGTATAATGTACTGATCTATGAAATTTCAATTGTACATATAATGGGTACAATTATATTTATATTCAATCTCCTATAGGTGTATAATGTATTGATCTATTAAAGTATACATCCTGTGTCATTTTATTAAATGTAAATTATATACACGCAAGCCTTCTTAGAGCTGAAGCGACTCTGGAAAGCTTAGAGGAAACATATTCTTTTGATTATATATTTTTTGATTATATAAAATACTATCTATCTTTATCATACTTTATATAATCAAATGAACTAAAATTACGATTTTCTTTAGGAAATTACACCACCCATCTCATTTAGTAACCCTAAATTTTATATATTATATATTCACATATATTATGCACACACACACACATATATATTAATAAGCCATAAAATGTGATACAACATACAATTATTAAACAACCCTATCCATATAATAATATAATATAATATAATAATATAATAAATATAATATAATATAATATAATATAATATAATTAATATAATATAATATAATATAATATAATATAATATAATATAATAATATAATATAATAATATAATATAATATAATATAATATGAGATTAACAGAATATAAAAAGCCCAGGATGCCACGAGAGGGACGGGGGAAGGTAACCCTAACCCGTGGACATGCGGCCGGGGATGATGGGCACCGTATGCTCCCCGCGGCGGCAAGGTTGGGGATGATGGGGAAGGTCAGTCCACTTTTCCCACAGGCAACCGGGGAACAGCGGGAAAGCTCCCCTCCAGGCCACCGGGGTCACCTGCCCCCTCCCCTCCCCCGGACTCACCTCAGAATATCTCCGGTCTTCCGGTCTCACTCGCCGGCCGGCTTCTAATCGACGATTAAGTGAGGCGAAGGCCTGGAGTCTTTCACCGCCCCGGAAAAATGACGCACTTCCGCCCCCGTGTCCCGCCCTTTTCGGGAAGTGTCTCGCGTTCGTCCTTGAGGGCCTTTGAAGGTTGCCAACTTTCCCAAGAAAGCCTCCGGTCTTTCGCGGCCCCGCCTCCTTAACGTCACAGCCGCCGCTTGCCCAATCGGAGGGCCTCTTTCGCTGCCATGGTGACGCGGTTACCAAAATGGAATGTGAGGAGAGTTGAGGCCCTGATATATTTTTTTTCCTGCGCTTTATTGTTGGTTATTTGGTTTGTTTTCCCGCGCTTTTTGTGTGTGTGGGGCGGGTTCACACGACGCGAATCGAGAGTTCGTTGACCCGAGTTCTCCCGCCACCTTTGGACCCGGGCAAAAAGTGGCGGGGGGAAAAACTCAGAGGGAGGACGGAAATTCAGCCTCCTTCGTGTTTGTGGAGGGGACTTGATTGTGTGGATGCGACGTTTGCGCTTAATGCGTGTAGTGGGCAGACCCAAAAACAGGTTCAGGGCCCGTTGCTGCATTTGTGAATGCCTCAGAAGGAGGGAGAGAAAAAAAGTTGACTAGAGGAAAAACAACCCTCTTATTTATTTTTAATTTCTTTATTTAAAACCTTTCTAGGGCCTGCGAGGCGAGTGTACAAGCTGCCTCTTGAGACCTGGATTCACTTAACGACGGCCCCAGAAAGAAAAGATCTGGTCATGGATGGCCCACTTAACGACTGTCATGACATACAACCGGGTTATAAATTGGGGACTGCCTTGGTATCTTTTGGAGGGGGGGAACCCTGACTTGCTGGGTGAAATCCAAATAGAGGCAGTCCTCGGCTTACGAGCATTAATTTAGCGACCATTCAGAGTGACGGCACCGAAAAAAGTGGCTTGGGATCGTATTTCACACTTAATGACGGTTGGATCATTCCCTGTGGTTGACTGATTCATATTTATGATGGTCGCAGTGTCCTGGGGATCCCCTTTTGGCGACCTTCTGACAAGCAAAATCAATGGGGAAACTGACTTTACTTAATGAATGTGGGACTCACTTAACAACCGCAGGAATTCACTTAATGACAGTCGCAAGAAAGATGGACAAAGGGGGCGAAACCCACTGAACAAATGTCTAACCTTTATTGTCAATGCACAACGTGGTACAATGAGATTGGCTGAGCCCATGTCTCGCTTAGCGATGGATGTTTGGAACTCAGTTGTGGTCGTAAAGTCGAGGACTATCTGTAGATGAAGCCGCCTGAAGGTGCGCTGTTGCTTTCTCCTGGACAGGCAGTCCTCGACTTAACGACCATCATTCAGACCAGAGTCCTGGGGTCATATAAATTCAGATTAACAGACTTGGAAGAGATCTTGTAGGTCATCTAGTCCAACCCCCTTTTCTGATCTTCTGACCACTCCTTGGCTTACAGCCAGTTGAGCCAGTTGTGCCCCCAAATGTCCGTTGCTAAGCAAGATGTTTGCAAAGGGAGCTTTGCCCTGCTGTATGACTTTCTTGCCACATTTTGGAAGGGAATCGCGGCCGTTGTTCAGTGAGTCATGTGGTCGTTAAGTGAATCTGGCTTCCTGCAGGTCGGAAGGTCGCCAGAGGGGGATCACATGACCCACCAGGGATATCGCAACCTGTCATATATATGAATCAGTTTCTGAGCGTCTGAAATTTGATCATGACACCATGGGGATGCTTGTGTGAGGAATGGCCATAAATCAGGGGCGTTGACACTTGTCACTAAAATGACCTGTTGTAGATTGAGGACTTACTGTAAAATCAATGGGGAAACCAGATTCACTTAACGACTCTGTTACCAACTTCAGAGAGGGGACCAGGTGGGGCAAAATTCATTTAACAACTGTCTTGCTTGGCAACATAAATTTTGGGCTCAACTTGGTCTTCTGTTTAGGATTACTTCAATCCATCAAAAGAGAGCTGGAAGGGACCTTGGAGGTCATCTAGTCCAACACCTGCTCTAGCAAGAGACCTGTATAGAATTATAGAATGACAGAGTTGGAAGGGACCTTGGAGGTCATCTAGTCAAGCAGGAGATTCTATATACCATTTCAGACAGATGGATAACCAGCCTCTTCTTCGATACACGCACACGCGCACACGCAGGGATGAATAAATAGAATAAATAGAAATATTTGGGAGGCGCCCGGTGGGACTTATCAGCATCTTGCTGCCGATTCATTTAGAAAATGGCGGAGGATCCTGGTTAAGACAAACTGGAGGCTGGATGAAGGTTAAAGGAAGTGGGTTTTCCCCCCCCCCCACCATCCTTTCAACAGTCAAACTTAGCTTATTTTCTTGAAACAAGAACATGCACACAAAAACCAGAATTATTTCTGCTTTGCATGCAAGGACTCTCTTGCTCTGCTTTTTCCAACCTGGCTGGCTGCCATATACCATTCAGCATTTCTTGTTTAATTCTCTTCCAATTTTTTCTGCTTTGGCTCCCTAATTTTTATTTCTTTTTTCTGCTTTAGCTCCTGATGTTCATTTCTTGTTTTTAATTCTCTTCCATTTTTTTCTCCTTTGGCTCACATTTCTTTTTAAATTTTCTTTCCATTTTTTTCTGCTTTGACTCCCGGTGTTCATTTCTTGTTTTTAATCCTCTGCCATTTTTTTTCTGCTTTAGCTCCCAGTTTTCATGACCCTTTAATTTTTCCGCTTTGGATCACCATTTTTTTGAAGTCTTTTTTTTTTTGAAGTCTTGGAGAGGCCTGGATGTTCTTTCTTTCTTTCTTTTTCTTTATTCCAGCCAAGAGTTACACAACGCGGCAAAGCGATGACTAAAGCAATTGTGCGTCTCCACACTTACAGTATTGGTGTGGCTGGTTACATATTGACCTGAATGTTTCCCAAGAATTGTCTCTGTTCCAGATACTCAGAACAAGCAGGTTGCCTGCTTTTACGTAACAGTGTAATCACGAGTTTTTGCATTTGCACATACTTGTTCCTGGATGACTCAACCCTTTTTAAAATACTCGACTTACGACCACTTTGGGCTTCAAAAACTTTCTGCCTTGTTGCTCGGTGAGCGTGGCCAGGGTGGGAGTGGCCTAGTCGACCTCCTGCACCACGGCGGGCGGGGCGTTTTTGCCCTCCCCGTGCTCCAGAGGCTTTCCTTGAGCTTCCAGGAGGCCCAAAACAGCCTTCCCGGGCACCGGAGGCCCTCTGGAGCTCGTTTCTGGCCTTCTGGAGCCTCCCAGAGGCCCGTTTTTCACCCTCCCTGAGCCGCTGTGCGGGCCTCGCACTTACCCAGCATTTATTTTTTATTTTATTTGTCAATTGTTTACAAGATAATAGGTATAAGTATACACATAGTTATGAATACATGAAATGGGTACATATAAGAAAAATAAAAGAAACAATAGCACAGGGACGGTAGGCACGTTGGTGCGCTTATGCACGCCCCCTACAGACCTCTTAGGAAAGGGGTGAGGTCAATAGTAGACCATCTAAGGATAAAGTTTTTGGGGTTTGGGGAAGAAACTACAGAGTCGGGTAGAATATTCCAGACATTGACCACTCTTTTGCTGAAGTCGTATTTTCTGCAGTCGAGTTTGGTGTGGTTAACCTTGAGTTTGTATCTGTTGTGTGCTCTTGTGTTGTTATGGTTGAAGCTGAAGTATTCATTGACAGGTAGGACATTGCAATGTATGATTTTATATACTATATTTAGATCGGACAGGAGGCAGCATAGTTGTAGGTTTTCTAGGTCTAGAGTTTCAAGTCTGGTGGCATAAGGTATTCTGCAATGAGTAGAGGAGCGGAGAACTCTTGTGAAATATTTCTGGACTTTTTCAATTGTGTTAATATCAGATACATGATATGGGTTCCAGACTGATGAGCTGTATTCAAGTATAGGTCTAGCAAATGTTTTGTATGCTCTAGTTAGTAGTGTGATATTACCAGAGAAAAAGCTACGTAGGATTAGGTTAACAACTCTTAATGCCTTTTTGGCTATGTAGTTACAGTGGGCTCTAGCACTTAGATCATTAGAGGTGAGTATTCCAAGGTCCTTTACAGAGCTTGGATCATCAACAAGATCTTGACTATTCAGCCTGTATTTTATTTTCTGATTTTTTTTGCCGGTATGTAAGACAGAGCATTTATTTGTTGAGATTTGAAGTTGCCATTTGTTTGACCATTCTGATACATAGTCAAGATCTTTTTGAAGGGTAGCAGTATTGTCTGTGGTATTGAACAGCTTTACATCATCAGCGAAAAGAACGCAGTTGCTCTTAAGGTCATTTATGTAGAGTATGAAGAAAGTCGGTCCTAAAACACTGCCTTGGGGGACACCACTATTGACAGGTACAGAATTTGATAGGACGCTCCCAATTTTGACCATTTGTTGTCTGCATTCAAAAACAGCCGCCTGGAGATTCCGGGGAGGGAGCGGTGGGGCCAGCCAGGGGTGGGATTTGCCAGTTCCCCGAACCGGTCCTTAAAAATGATAAAATTAGCTACCGGTTCACTTGAACCGGGGCAAACCAGTAGCAGCCCCACCCATTTACGATCACAATTGAGCCCCAATTTTATGTTGCTAAGTGAAGCAGGTTTTTATTTATTTATTTATTGAACTTATATTGCTGCCTATTCGCCCATGGCGAATCGAGGCGGCTTACAGATTGTAAAACCAATGTTAGTTGCACGGTCGTTAAATGAATCCAGCTTCCCCACCCCCGCCATTGACTTTGCTTGACGGAAGATCGCAAAAGCGAATCGCGCAACACCCCAGGGGGAGCCTGCAACCTTTGTAAACATGAGTCGGTGGCAGAGTGTGTGAATTTCAGTCATGGGACTGTGAGAAGTCCATGACGGTCATTAAGTGTGAAAAAATGGTTAGGGCTGTTGTAACTTTGAACGGCCAGTAAACGAAGTGTGGTCAGTCGAGAACGACCTGAAATTGTTGTTTAGTGGCCGTTTGAAGTTCCAATGGCCCTGAACAAAGTGACTTATGACTGTACTTCACACTTACGATCATTGCCGCATCCCTTGATTAAGTGATCGGAATTCAGACGTTCGGTAACTGACTCATATATACGGCGGTCGCAGTGTTCCGGGGGGGGTGTCACGTAATCCCCTTTCGCGGCCTAATGACAGGCAATCAATGGGGAAGCCATACTCACTTAACAACCGTTGTAACTCACTTAACAACTGCAGGGATTCACTTAACCCCGGTGGCAAGGAAGGTCGTAAAATAGGCAAAGACTCACTTAACAGTCTCACTTAGCAACAGAGATTTGGAGTGCAATTTTGGTCGCAAGTCAAGGACTACCTGTAATACATATGCCACATTCAGGAAAGTTACCAATCCATCTCTTTCTCCCTCTACCTCATCTTTCTTTTAGCTACATGCAGTCTTCGACTTACGACCTCAATAGGGATCTGAATTTTGGCTGCTAGGCAAGTCGGTCATTGTGCAAGTCATTTCCTGTGACAAGGTCTTGACTTACGACACCCCAATTTCTGTTGCTAAGCGAGACCCTGGCTCGGCACATTTTGCTTCCTTTTACGACACGCCTTGCCGCCATGGTTATGTGAATCACCATAGTAAAATGGTTGTTAAAACTGAATCTGGCGTCCCCGTTGTCTTTGCCATCCAGAAGGTTGCAAAAAAGGGACCACCAGTGCCAAGGTCATAAATATGAGACAGCTGCCAAGCGGTCCAATTTTGATCAAGGTGACCCTTTGAAGACATGGCTGTAAGTGTGAATTGGATGGCAAGTTACTTTATTTGTGCCGTTGGATGCTGGAACCGGTGGTGGGCTCAGAGGTGAAATGGTGAAGAGGTGAAAAAAAATGCTATTGGTTCAGGCTGACAGATGAGTCTGTCATCTGCACCTCTATAACCGTCTAGTTTGGCTCTGCAACCCAACAAGACAGACACAGACTTCAGCAAGTCATTAGGACCATAGGCAAAAACAATTACTACCAACCTGCCTTTCATCGAGGACCTGTATATTGCAGGAGTATGGGCGGGGGTGAACTAGATGACCTACAAGGTCCCTTCCAACTCGGATTATCTGTTATCTGAGTCAAAAGGAGGGCTGTGAAAATATCTATAGACCCCTCACATGCCAGACACAGTTTCAATTCCTACCCTCAAAACGATGCTACAGAGCACTGCACACCAGAACAACTAGACACAAGGACAGCTTTTTCCCCAAATGCCATCCCTCCGCTAAACAAATAATTCGCTCAACGCTATCCAACTATTTACAAAGTCTGCATTACTATTACTATTGATCTTCTCGTCACTCCTTATTGCCCATCCCCTCCCACTTGTGACTGTAGGACTGAAACTTTGTCACTTGTATCCTTATGATCTATATTGACTGTTTTCTAGTATGATTTCATTGCTTATTGTACCCTATGACTGTTAGGAATAACAAGGTTACCTAACGTGGTTTGGGTAAAATAATATATATAAACTATGATAGTAAGTTTAAGTGTGTGTCACTTTCAACTGCAAAACATGTAATTTTGGGTGCGGTTGTGAAACCGCCATAAGAGGGAGCAAGAGAACCTGCTGGACTGCTGACAATTGCTGATGATTGCTGGATTGCATGGATTGATGTTTTGCTAACTGCGTGTTCCCTGCCGTTGAAGGAAGAAAGGAGGTTTGACTTCTTCATATCTCTACTGCGAGGAGATTTATTACTGGACTGACATTTGTAAGTTTACTGACCTCTTTTTCGACACTGGACTTTGCAACTGAATAATCCCCAGATGGACTGAACTAGTGAATGATATATGGATTGTTTGACTATGCTAAAATTATTACTGGAATAAACTATTTAACTAGCACAGTGTATTTGTTTTACTGAGTGTAAGCTACAAAAACGTTTATCTCACATATTTTGCCTGCCTGCCTGACTGCCGTGCACATTCTACTAGGGTGCATCCCTAACAATGACCATCATTAAGTGTTGTACCTGATGATTCTTGACTCTTGACAAAGGTATATTTTCTTTTCATGTGCAATGAGAGCATTTGCACCAAGACAAAATTCCTTGTGTGTCCAATCACACTTGGCCAATAAAGAATTCTATTCTATTCTATTCTATTCTATTCCATTCTTTATTCTATTCTATTACTTATTTTATTTTATTCTATTCTATTCCATTCCATTCTAATCCTTATTTTATTCCATTCTATTCCTTATTCTATTCTATTCCTTATTCTATTCCAT